CTTTTGATCTTGGAAAGTATGGGGTAAATAAATTCTCTTGCTTGCCTCCTTTCACAGATGTTTTCTGGTAGTCCATTGCAAAGGCAGCATTAAAGAAGGCAATGCTGTAAATCAAATAGGTTTCGTGTTTTACCTGTAGTGGGGTTTAGGAGTCCTCAGCATCTGTTTGTCATGTCCATTAGTATAGAAACTTCAAAGAGATCTAATGTTTTCCCAGGAGGTATCTTTGTGGTAACCTCAATTTTTATTTTTCAGCTGATGTTGACAGTCTCTACTTATTGTCTCAAATTTAACAAAAAATGAAGTCTTTACTCAGGCGGAAAAAATGTGATGATCTATTGTTTCTGTTTCTAAGGAGTAAACTAGTCATAAATCCAGAAATTCTTAGTTAAAGAAAAAAAAAACTAGTGGGGGTGAGTAGGAGGAAAGAGAATGTTTACATTTGTTACAACCCAAAATGTACATAACAAAATATCATTTCTTTCCAAATACTTCATATAATATATAACAGAATTGCAGCTCTGGGGATCATTTTAGGTCTAAACACAGAAAAATCTATTAACTTCTCAAGGAAATCCAAGAGGTACTTTAGAGGATGTGTAACTGGAAAATTGGGAATGAAAAATTAAGGTTTTGTGTACATATAAGTTTTCTCTCACAGCTCATTAATAGCTTCAACTAGTGTTCAGATAACATATTCCTCAAAAAATCAATGTGTGGTCATGGTGATGGTTGCACAACTCTGTGAAAGTACTAAAAATCATTGAATTGTACACTTTAAGTGGGTCAGTTGTACAGGATGTAAATTATGTCTCAATAAAACTTACATTAAAATTTAATATGTAGTTAGATTTGAAAATATAGGGGTTTTTTGGGGGGTGGGGGGGTGGATTTACCCAAAAAACTAAATGTGCTTCATGCTTCTTCAATTGTGAACATTTTCATCAGAAGCCCACTTTATGTAAAGCATGCTTCTGAGTCCTTCACCAGTTCCCTGAAATTGCCAGTGTGCTCCATTCTCCTGTGCAGGCTCGGATGGCCCTGGCAGACCACATGCTCCAGATCAGGAGGCTTCTTTCTCCTACGTCCACATAGTTCTGCTCCCAGCATTTGACATTCATGCTTACCAAACCTATGCATGCCAGTTGGGCTTGATTTTTTAATTATGTCATCTGATTAAATTTTTAATAATCCATTTATATATAGGTGCTAAAAGGAGGACTTGTTTTTGTGAAAAGAAAATTGTAGACTTTAAGAAAACTAGATAAATGTAAGTAGTTATGAAAAAAATTTACTATTGAATTAGTATGGGAGAAACAATTGTAATAAATTTGGGGGGAAATCATTAAAATTTAGATGTATATTATAGTCGTTATACCCAGAATACTCACAAGTATATATGTTAAATCCTCCAAAATTGGAAATCATAGACAATGCAGCATTTTGTATTAGAAAAGATTGGCAGCTGAGTATACATTCATGTTTAGGGTACAATTAGGTATTTAAGGAATGTATATAGCACTTTTTAAGGAATTTTACACTTCGATTAACCTTTCTGATTAACCACCAAAACTAATGGTTCCTACCACATTGAATCAGAGGGCCTTTGTTATAGGATTCAGAGGCACAAACGAAACTTACAAAGTTTAGTAAATTAGTAAAGGAGTTTAGGATTGACAGATGGGAATGGGCTGAAGTTACAAAGTGTGTGTGAGAGAGAGAGAGTAAGCGAGCAAGAGAGAAACAGAAAATTAATTTTACCTGTGTTGATATTTATGTCTCAAGCATCTTTTTTAATTCATTGTCTACTGATTTCAAAGCTGTTGAGCATGAGAAAAGTAATAAAAGATGCCCATTCATTAATCCAACAAACACTAATCTGACATCCACAAATGACCACGCTAGGTTATATAGACATGAACACAAATAAGCTGTGCTTCCTCTTTAGGCATTTAATGTCTTTTGTTTTAAATTTTAATGATGAATTAACTTTACTCTGTGTGTGTGTGTGTGTGTGTGTAAAGAATGCATTTTTGGTATTCTTTAGTAATGCTGTGAATATTCAGTATCATATTTGTTCTTAAAGCAACAAGTTCTCTTATGTTGTTCTTACTGGAAACTCATTATTAAGGTCCACGTCTACCAGAAGAAAAGACGCTTCTTTCCTGTATAAGAGATTAATGCTTTATGATTGTCCCTGTAGTTTCCCCACCTTGGTTTTAGAGACAAACACACACAAGACAAAGAGCAACTCTGCTACTAAGACCTGAACAGCTGAAGGCAGACTGCGGCCCCTCTCTAAAGATGGGCTGGGATGGAATTGGAGTGAGTGTTATCTCCGATTCTTTCCAGTGCTTGCAGTCTCTGAGAGTGTTCCGTCTCCTTGATTTTAATATTTTTAGTGGGCTTAGAGTCATAATGAGAGCATGTGGATAAAGCATAAAATTTAGAACATATACTTCTTTCATATAAACAGATTATATACCAAGTGCATTCTAGAATGCTCCATGGAGTTTGGGACCTTGTTTGTCTCATTCATGGAGTATACTAGCAGTTTGAAAAAAAATTTTTTTTAAGAATGAATACATGTATCTTAGTGAGAAATGTAAATGGAGAGGGAAACTAAAAAGAGAACTTTAGATCTTCAAGAAATTCCAGGGTAGGGGTCCAACTATTGGAGGAGTATTAGCTTGAGGTAGAAAGACTGGAGAACAGATTTTTGCATTGTGTTTTTCCTTCTAAGTATGGTATAGCCTAGTGGAAAATTTCAGGTTAAGAGAGGGTATGTAGTTAAGGAATCCATTTTTTCAGTAAGCAAATATTTATATATACTATACATATATTAGTGTGGTGCTTCTCAAACTTTTTCGTCTCACGACCCCTTCACACTTTCAAAAATTATTGAGAGCCTTCAAAGAGCTTTTGTTTATGTGGGTTATAGCTGATACATACCTTATTGGAATTGAAACTAAGAAATTTTAAATTATTTAACTCATTAAAAAATAATAAGCCCATTACATGATAACATAAATAACATTTTTCATGAAAAATAATTATATTTTTCAAATAAACAAATGGTATTATGTCAAACTAAAAAGCTTCTGTACAGCAAAAGAAACAACAGAGCAAAAAGACAACCAAGTGGGAGAAAATATTTGCAAAATATACATCTGACAAAAGATTAATATCCAGAATATACAAGGAACTCAAACAACTTTACAGCAAAAAACAAATAACCTAATTAAAAAATGGGCAAAGGAGCTGAATAGGCATTTCTCAAAGGAAGATATACAATACAGACACATGAAAAAATGCTCAACATCACTCACCATCCAGGAAATGCAAATCAAAACCACTTTGAGATACCATCTCACTCCAGTCAGGATGGCTAACATCCAAAAGACAGAATGATAAGTGCTAGAGAGGTTGTGGCGAAAAAGGAACTCTCATACACTATTGGTGGGTCTGCAAAATGGTGCAGCCTCTATGGAAAATGGTATGGAGGTTCCTCAAACAATTACAGATAGATCTACCATATGACCCAGCTATTCCACTGCTGGGAATATACCCAGAGGAATGGAAATCATCATGTTGAAGGGATACCTGTACTCCCATGTTTATTGCAGCACTATTTACAATAGCCAAGAGTTGGAACTAGCTCAAATGTCCATCATCAAATGAGTGGATTAGGAAAATGTGGTATATCTATACAATGGAATACTATTCTGCTGTAAAAAAGAATGAAATACTACCATTTGCAATAACATGGATGGACTTAGAGAAAATTATATTAAGTGAAACAAGTCAGACACAGAAAGAGAAATACCACATGTTCTCACTAATTTGTGGGAGCTAAAAATAAATAAACACACAATCAAAGCAGGGGGTGGGAAGAAGACACAACAATCACAACAATTCCTTGAATTTGTTAAGACAAGTAAACAGATATGATGTAGGAGGGAGAGGAGATGAGTGGGGAAGAGGAACAGGTAAAGGGTCACGAAAATCAACTACAATGTATATTGAGAAGTTAAAATAAAAAGTAAATAAATAAAAAAGAAAAATTATTACATTTCTCAGAACAAAAAAGTTTAGTGAGAAAGTATCATTCTTTCACATTTTGTAAATTGATGCATAGCTTACTAGAAGATAACAGGATTCTCATATTTGCTTTAGCAAATAAATATATGAAGTATATGAAGAAAGTTGAAACATTTGAAGTATATGAAGTCTGGCCTTTAGCAGATAAGATACATAGTTGGAAAAGGGAGGCCCTCACAGACCCTGTGAAAGGGTCTCAGGAGCTCCCAGGAGTCTTCAGACCACACTGTGAGAACTACTGTGTACTTGGGAACAGTGTAGCATGAGTAGTAGATTTTCTTTGTTCACCAAATGTTTATCAAGTATTTACCATGTGCCAGTAAATAGGGAAAAAAATAATCTGGTAGGGATAAAGAGTTCGGAGGTTGAGATTGAGTGTGGAGTCTCTTTAGCAAGCTTATTTTATATATCTGAGAGGCAGGGTGCAAAGGATGGGTGGGTATAATACAGAGTATGGGGAAAAGAAGTGTAGGGAGACCCTCGATAAGCAAGGAAGCAGCTTAGATTAGAGACTTAGGTGGATTCCTGTTGTGAGAGAAATGAGTGAATCTTGGATTTGTAGGTCTCAGAGAATGTTGTGCAGTAGGAATATGATTCCATCAAGGAGTGTGATATGGAGTCTGGGAAGGGGCTGCCTCCTGACTCGCCACTTGAGCACCCCTCTACTCATCTGCTAGTGTGCACGGTGGCCAGCATTTGCTGTTAAGTCCATCTGTGTTTAAAATCTCTCAAATACCAGCCAGCCACCAAAAAAAAAAAGAAGAAAAAAAAATTTTTTTAAACCCAGAATTCTTCATAGAAGAGGTAACAAGTAAAATGTTCAGTATGTATATAACGTAAGTTTGTTTACATTATGATGCTTCGTTTCTGATCGTTTTTCCTTTGCTTTTTTTTTTCAGACCATCCAGACCTTTCAAGTTACCAAAAAGGTAAAGTAATCTGGGTCATCTCATTAAATAAATAATAAATCCACCTGCATGCTCCCCTCCAGTGTTGTCCCTGCTGTTTTGCTGCCCCTTCCCCTTCTTTACTCACATTTTTATGAAGGGAAAATGAATTTCCCATAAGTTGTCTGCCTGAGGAATCTCATATCTCCAAAAGTAGTTTTAATCTCAGCGTAGATTTTTGCTGTTAAATTCTATTTGTGTCTAATCACTTAACATTCATCTAATTATTTTGCACTCCTTCCTGCAATGGATGGGCTTCTCAGTTTCTTTCTTGTTGAGAGATTGTTCTGCCAACTACAATGACTTCAATTTATTTGTTTAAATAGTTTACTTATTTATTTATTTATAAATAATATTTATTCATTTATAAATAAATAAGTCAGTTTATTTCAGATGTGTTGTCAGTTTTATTTCTTTTTTTTTTGTCTTTTTTTTTTACTGACCGGTAACGGGATTGCAACCCTCGGTGTTGCGCCCACACCGCGCTCAGCCAGTGAGCGGGAACCTGTCTCCACATGGGATCCGAACCCTCGGCGGGAGCACCACCACACTCCCAAGCGGCGCACTCTCCAGTGTGCCACTGGGCCGGCCCTCAGTTTTATTTCTAAAAATGTTTTTACCATATTAAGATGGCGGTATTCTTTTGTGTGGAAATTTTTGAGGTTTGGCTTTTCAGTAGAAAAAATTTTAAGTGGATGAGTTACTGAAAAAAAGCATTGTCTCATCAGATATCCTTAAACATTGTGGTTCCAGATATATGAGAGTACTTCAAAAAGTTCATGGAAAGATTCATGTTATCTTTTAATTCTATTAAACAGAATAAATGTAATGTCATTACACTTAAGAAGCTGTAAGTGATCTTTGAAATTTAGTTGCCGAAGAAGTTCAGATGCTGATAGCTCTGAAGCCTGCCTTAAGAGAGTTATCTCTTTGGAATAAAATAACTACATAAATTTTAATTAGTAAACTCCCCTTTCGTTTAAAAAAATTATTTGTTTTTAAAATTGTGATAAAATATACATAATATAGAAATTGCCATTTTAACCATCTTTAAGAGTACAGTCCTATGGCTTTGTGTGCATTGTGTAGCTGTCACCACCATCTGTCTCCAGAACTTTTCTGGAAATGAGACTCTGTACCCATTAAACAATAACTTTTCACTTCCCCCACCCCCAGCCCCTGACAACCACCTTCTACTTTCTGTCTCTATGAGTTTGACTACTTTGCATACCTCTTATGGAGGAGTCACACGGGATCTTTCTTCTGGGCCTGCCTTATTTCACCAGCTTAATGTCCTTGAGATTCATCTGTGTCAATAGCGTGTATCAGAATTTCCTTACTTTTTAAGGCTGAATTATATTTCATTGTATACACCACATTTTGTTGATCCAGTTCTCCTTCCATTTGAAAAAAAAAAAAAAACTGGAAAAAGATAAAGGGAAGGGGAGAGCAAAGAGCGAGTAGACATGGCGTGTCGTGAAAATGAACTTCTAGTATTCTAGAAATAATAGGGCTTTCTCAAATGACCAGAAATTTTGCATTTTGATGAGATTCATATATTTTTTGTTAGTAGATTGGTATTTTTTTTAAGTCTGAATTTCTTCTTTTTAGTATTATGCATATAAATACAAGTTCCTCAAAAAGCATTTCTTGATTGCTCTTTCCCACCTTAGCTGGAAGTAATCTCTTCCTTCCTTGAATTCAAAAAACATTTTATCTGGACCCTCTAAAAACATTTCTCTTTTTACCTAGTTTTGTAGGTATTTGTATACCTGTCTGAGTTCCTATGTTAGGCTATAAGTTCCTTGAGGGCAAGATCCATGTCTGCCATTTCTGTATTCCCAGAGTGCATTCCATCCTTCCTACTTAATGCTTATTGTGGGGTGAATTTATTACTTCCCAAGAAAGGAAGAGTTCTGTATCCTCCTGTGTGTGTGTGTATCATTTCCCAAACTTCAATTATTCTTCCCACTAAGTTGCTACATAGTTGATACCACTGGAAAAGTTGTGATTTTGACATTTTGAAATGCCTATCCTTAAGGGACAGGAGGAAAAAGGCAAAGTTATGAAAGGAAACAGAAAGGAATAAACTGAGGAAGAAAGGGTTTAGGAAGAGAGGGACAGCTGACAGCATTAAATATCACTCAGGTCAAAGAAGACAAAAACCAAGATAGTTGATTTTGGCAGTTCAGAAGAGTCATGAGAGCAAATGCAGGCTTCAGGGGGTTAAGGGCTGGGTGATTGGTCAGGAAGAGGAGGACACTTTCACTCTCTGAGGCATGGCTCTCTGCTCATAGGCAGGGGAGAAAGAAGAGAGCATTTTGAGAAAGGCATGAAGAGAAAGGGAAAAAGTCTTTGTAAGCTAAGGGAAAAACTTACTGTGGGGATGTTGTAATATAAATGACCCATTTAAAACACACCCCCATTTAATGTCACTTGAGCATAAGCCAACCCTGTACAACACATAGTTTATTTCTTTTAACAGTTATTTCTGATCTGTTTCCAGAGCAAACCCACTAGCAAGGTGGCTAAGAATCCATGAGTGTATCTGAGGCCCTTCCCATTGGACGCCAGTGAGACTCCAGCATGGCAGTGACAGCCTAGACCAGGATGCCAGGTGGCATGCCCACTGACTCAGGTCCACAGCTCGCCCACGCACACACTCAGTTCACCCTGCTACCTCTGTTTCCTCATACTGTAGAAGGAGGATGAGCTCTTCAGATCTGTATACAACTTGAGACTTAACCTGTTGAGAAATGATATGAACTCTTATGTGGCAGTGCTCTATACAGAACCGCGGGCCCTAACCTCAGCAGCTGGTACAGCAGTATGGCCTCAGGGAACACTGTCACCTGGTCATGGAAAATGACTACCTGCTATAACCCAGGTGTTATAGACATGGACTGCACTTACAGTTATACTGTGGTATTGTCTAAAGATTTCCAAAATTAGAGCAAGTGGATGAAAGACAAGTATTATTTGATATGTAGAAGCACATATTATAGTAAAAGAATGGTCTTTTTGAAAATTCTTCCAATACACATGTGATTCAGTTTTCAAAGAAATTAATATACAGGTACTTTATTCTTTAAATTTAGAATATATTCCTTGAAACCAGACTCACCAGGAGGGAAATTAGCAAAAAATATACAGTGGTGAGATTTATAGGCCATTTTTAATTTCCTTTACGTCTCTAATTTTCCTACTTTATTAGATTTTTATCTTGATATTATAACCATTGTCTGGATTTCATATCGTACATGACACTTTTGATTTCCATGTGGTGCCCATAGCTGTATGATATCTTAGCACAGATAGTAGGAGCAGCAGAAATATCCTCAGCAATTTTATGGTGTTTAGGAGAAACACTTGTCTTGGTAAAATTTACTCAGAATGGTTGGACTTTCCCCCATGGTGCTTTATGTACTCAGGGTGGTGATTCCGTTTCTTGAGTGTGAACAGTTGTCTCTAGAAAAGGTTAGTGCATGAAAGAACTGCTGTGTGAGGAAGTGGAATTGTAATATAGTAAGTTTAAATGTGTTTGGAAGAAATGTGCTGAAACCACTGATGCCTCTAAAGGCTCCATATGTAGTCAGCACACGTATACGGTATATAGCTATAAAATCAAAACCAAATGTTTTCAAAGCGAATAAAAGCAATTATTGAATAAGATTTTTAAGGTTGCTGTGCATATGTGTGCAGATTTTTCAGGAACACAAAAAAAGTCATTATATGGGTAAAATTAAACCACAGTATGAAAACTAAGCAATTTGGGACCCACTGCCCTCTGTTGATAACATGTTTGTAGATAGAAATACATAGCTTCTCTTTCATTTGAAAGAAAATGGATCCATTTAAAATAAAGTGTAATGAATAATTGTATAAGCCTAGGGCTATTTTCATTTCACAGGGCTGATATTATAAACATCTAAAACGTAAAGGACTCCTTTAAAGTCTCAAGCAGTGAAAAGAAAGTCTCAAATGTGCTATTGAAACAAAGGACTTATTACTTCAAAACCACTTGCTTTCATCTTAGTTTGCATTTGGTGGAGGAGGAAATAAAGCAAGGAGAATTTTTTTTGCCCTAGGTGTGTTCTGGAAATATGAAAGCTTCTGGCCACTTGGTGTTTACATTTGAACCACCACAGCATATAATGATTTATATGTTTTCATTATATTTAGAATTATTCTTTCAAGGTTATTCTATCTTATCTATCCCAATTTTTCCTCAATGAGTTTTTAAGTCCAGAATTTGCAGTCTAGTGAATAATGTTCAAACTTGGAGATTATGGACCTATGTAATTTTGCATAGAGAAATTAACTATTAGAGCTAGGATTTTTTTTTTTTTTTTTACCTGTAAGGGGATCGCAACCCTTGGCACGGTGTTATCTGTACCACGCTCAGCCATTGAGCGCACCGGCCATCCCTATATAGGATCTGAATCCGCGGCCTTGGCGCTACCAGCACCGCACTCTCCTGAATGAGCCATGGAGCTGGCCCAGAGCTAGGAATTTTTAATTGCTACTTTTGGGAAGTGGACATTTTGGCAAGTTTACTTATTCCTACTATCTCTAGTTTCTCTTGTGTTTGAAGAAAGAGAAGATGGCGGCATAGTGATTAAGAGGCCAGACTCCAGAACCAGACTACCTAGGTTCCTAGTTTTGTGACTTTAAACAAGTTCCTTAATCTGCCTGTGCCTCAATTTCACCTCATAAGGTTGCTGTGAGAATTAAATGAGATAATATAGATAAAGCACAAGAGCAACTGGTACTCCGAGTGCAAGCTGTTATTTTTTGTCTGTTTGTGTGATTGCTTAAAAAGAACAGCAATGAAAAATACCCGTGTGAGTGCTCCCTGAAAGCATAATAATGTTATATTTAATTTCCTTATTAGAATTGCAATTTGAAATAAAAAGTCCCCAAAAGTGAGATTTATGAAGTTAAGAGATCAGGATATAAAAATCAGTAATCTAATCTTAGAGACATACGAGTGTAGTCACTTTTTTCAGAGTGACAGTTGAGAGCCACAAGCTTTGTTTGTAACTGCTAGCATGATTTTGAAGAAATAAGCCATAATATGAGTAAAAAACCTATTTCAAATGAGCTGGAAATAGCCAGCACAGCAGCCAATGAGCTAACATTGTTGAGAATTTGAGAGTAGTGATCCACAAGTTAAATGTTTTTTCTTCTGCTAAGAAAGATTCAAGAAACTAGAATTTTGCAGGATGCATTTTGAATTTTAGAAAAAGTTCAGCTTAGGGCCGGCCCGGTGGCGCACTGGATAGTGCGCCGCTTGGGAAGCGCGGCGGCGCTCCCGCCCGAGGGTTCGGATCCCACATACAGACCGGTTCCCGCTCACTGGCTGAGCGAGGCGCGGGAGCAACACCGAGGGTTGCGATCCCGTTGCCAGTCCCCGGTCCGGTAAGGGGGCAACACTGAGGGTTGCGATCCGTGGCCGGACACGGAAAAAGACAAAAGACAAAAAAAAAAAAAAAATTCAGTTTAGTCAACTTCTGTTGGGCACTCAGTTTATATCAAGACCTAGAAAGGCTACAGAAACAGATCTTTCAATCGAAGGTGTGAGTGAAGGTGTGAGAAGGGCATCTGGAAGGAAGGGTCTTATGGTAGGATTTTATAACAGGAAGGAAGGGCCTGATGGTAGGATTTTGTAACGGGAGTTTCTGTGGTGTAGGAAGAGACTGTAGCCAGGCTATAGTGGCTGGAGAGTGCAAGGGTGGTAGGCACCTGGGTATTTGTTCATTTAGTTGATAGATATTTACTGAATACCTTCTAAAAGGCACTGTTCTAGGCACTGATGATGCACTAAATAAACCAAACAAAAATCCCCTGCCCTCATGGAACTCACAGTCTGGAGGATAAGTTCCTTATAGTTTTAGCTAGAAGGAAAGTTATAGGTTTATAGTTTAGTTATTTTTTGGATTTACACTACATGAACCTGTTTATAGACTGAGTTCTTTTTTAAGAACTGATAGAGTAAAGGTATGGAAAAAGGGAATAACTTGACAAACAAAAGTTCTGGAAGAGACTGCAAAGAAGATGGATCCTCCTCTATTAAATCTATTTTCTTTTCACTTATGAAGTATGAATTTTAGATCTTCTCTTTCCCAGATGTAGATGTAGCTATAAAATTGTTATTGTCTTTTATGGGCATTATTCTGATTCTTAATACCCTGTGGCATATTATTACTGCTACTTTACACAAAAAGGAAAGGACAATGATCTTGTAAGTTTCTACTACAATTACATATAAATACTTACAATCCCATTAGATCTTTTATTGTTAAATACCCGTATTAGGTCTAAAATATGAGGCTTTAACGAATTGCTCTCTTATGCAGCAAAAAAGCTGTGTTGCTTCTTAGGCCTTCTTTGTGATTTCTTTGTGCTTTTGTAGTTATGCAGCCCTGATAGCTGACTGGCCAGTGGTCGTCTTGGGCATGTGCACTGTGTTCATTGTGGTCTGTGCCTTGGTTGGAGTATTAGTGCCAGAGCTTCCTGATTTCTCTGATCCATTGCTGGTAAGGAGAATTGAGCCACTAAAATTTATCTGTTTTATTTAGCCTAAAATCATCTGCAAAAATTAAGTATTTTAATACATGTTGCATTATGTTATATAGTATCCTATTTCTTTTAAAACCTTCTCAAGCCATCAGTAAGTATACAGCTCTGTTTCTGAAAAGTAAAGACATGTCTTATGTGTATTCTCACATTCTTAACAGGGCAAGGAACTTGGTCACCCTCAAAAATCTGGAAATTTTACTTCTTGGTCCCCATGTTTAAGCTAAAAAGCAATAAATTGGAGAATCTGCATACTATAAAAATATTTTCATAAAGCCTTTGAAACTAAGTGTTTCTTTTTTCCCCTGAAGAAGTTAATTTCAGTATTACTAACTGATAGCAGGGTTTGCTTTTAAGTAAATGTTCCTTTGGAGTGTAATAATGAGGAAAATATGATCAAGGATAATGATATATTTTTTGTAAAACACTGATAATGCCTAACCTAATTTAATTTGACCATAATTTTTTATGATAAAAATAAGTATTTACTAAGTGCGTAGGCACAAATTATAAAGATGAGCTTCTGATACGTTTTTTTCCTCTCTCCTTAGACATGTAACATACCAAAGAATCAAACTGTTTTGTCACAGTGAACAGGTGATCATTATCATGTCAAGTCATCTTGTTTAATGCAGTTCATCCCTGGCATAGCTGTGAGGAACATCTGTATCTGCTGTTGAAAGCTGTGCATCACGTTGGCATTGCTTTCCCAAGCTTTATTTATAACTATACTTAAATGAAACACACTAATGGGAACTAATAATATTTTGCTTTAGGGTTTTGAACCAAGAGGGACTGCAATAGGCCAGAGACTGGTCACATGGAATAACATGGTGAAAAATACAGGATACAAAGCAACATTAGCAAATTATCCTTTTAAATATGCAGATGAACAAGCCAAAAGGTAATCGTTTATCTGTGTATAACTTTTAAGCAAAACATTATTTAATGAGTTCACCTTTTAATATTGCCTGATAAAAAAGATTAAATGTAAAATGTATGTCTCAATCTTTTGCCACTGAATTTAACTTGTCATTGTCTTTTAAGATTTTGTTGTACTGGAATAAAAAGATGAGGTTGTCTCTCTCTTTTTTTTCTTTTTCAGAAGTGAGAAAATTATTGTTGGTTGCTATGTTAATCCTTCCAACTTAATATTGAGTGCTAAATAGGTCATGTCTTTGAGGAATGTACTGTTGCTGGTAGGCTTATCAGCCTGGAAATGGGTAGAACTTTATTGAAGCTCAAACTGTTGTTCCATTTCAGCCATCGGGATGATAGATGGTCAGATGATCATTATGAAAGAGAGAAGAGAGAAGTTGACTGGAACTTCCACAAAGACAGCTTTTTCTGCGACGTTCCAAGTGAGTGGCATTGTAGAGAAACAAACCCCCCGTGGTTTCCTAGCATTTAAGACTGAACATCGTCACAATCTAGACAGTCACACAGCTTCACTATTTCTATTGTACTTAACAAGATTTTAGGTAACTAACTTATTATTTTACTTTTCTAGATTAGTCAACCAAAAGTCCGAATTTATTTTTCTCTAATAAAAAGTAGTAAGAAACAGTGATGATTGAGTTATATTTAGTTTTAAGGAAGATATAAATCTAATAAAATTTTTGACGTTGCCCAAAATTTCACATCCTTTTTAAGAATTTTTTGTACTGTTTATTTCTAGGTCAAATAACAAGTACATATTGGACTGAAGACTGAAATAGTCTATTGTATTATCAAAAGTATTTTTTAAATTCTGATTCATTCAAAAAGCATGTATCAAGAGCTTTCTATGTGCCTGCCTAGTCTGCCTAGTCGCTAAGTAATACAGATAGAGATATGAATAAAATAAAGTCCAGAGGTCCAAAGCTTGAATGCCTCAAGGCCTGGCACGCAATGTGCATGAGCAAAGCCAGCTGGGTGTAGTAAGCAGGAAGCGAGGGTGATGATGGAGTGCTGAGGAGCACTGCCCTGTCTAAAGATACCACTGTTACTTAGCTGCAGCAAAATATGGCCTTGTGGAAAGGAGGGCCCAAATATTGCAAGAACTTCCCAGAGGTCAGGAATCCAGATTTTAATGTGGAATCTTCAGATCTCTAAATGTTGGCAGCAAATTCGCTAACCAAAATTCACTGTAGCATAGTAAGCCTGATTACTTTGCAGCTGCCAGGGAAGAAGGAACACACAGCCTAGAGGAAATACATGTCGGTATGTAAGCCATTGATTAGCCATAGTGATTAGAAATGAAGAATTGTAGATAATTTCAACTTCTGATTAAGTGAATATTAACATTAAAGCTCTTTTGGTTTTAGCTTTTTTTATTGTTGTAGAAAAATCTCTCTTAATTGTGTATTTTCCTGTCTTAGAACACTGGAGGATCTGATTAGATCTTTGGTATTTCTAGATCTTACCAAGTTACAGGGTCTTTATTTTTAACATTGTTATTCATTGTTTAATGAGTTCACCTTTTAATATTGCCTGAAAATAAAGGTAAAATGTATGGCTCAAAATCTTTTGCCACTGAATTTGTTTAACTTGTCATTGTCTTTTAAGATTTTGTTGTACTGGAATGAAAAGATGAGGTTCCCTTTTTTTTTTTTCTTTTTCAGAAGTGAGAAAATTATATAGTAATAGAGAGATAGAAGGAGATTAGGCAGAATCTTATACTGATCCCAAGAAGCAATACAAGTTTCCCTTTCTGTCTCTTCTTTTTAAAAACATTGGAAAAATTGAACTCTGGTTAGTTGCATGTTCTGGCTGGTTTATTTCTCTCAATCAAAGTGTCACTATATATTATTGCTTAACCAACATCTGTTAATTAATATCTTAACCAGGAAAAAACTAGCAAATTCATAAAATATAGCCTTGTTTATATTTCAGTAGTCAATATTTGTCTCATAAGTAATAGGTTCTGCCTTGACTAAAGCCATTACCAGCTTTATCTGAATGAAATGTTTCAGTTTCCACAAGGCTCTTTTTGCTCTTCAGAATCAATTAACATAAGGTGACAGGCCATTTATTTGAAGATAGGAGTTTACTAAAGAAAACTTCATGAACATGAATAAAACCTTCTATTTTAAGGCTTTATTCATAAATTTGCCAATTGATTTTCTTTGTTAGCACAGTAAGGCATTTTAGTTAAGTAAAATTAATCTACTTTGTTTTACTTGGTTCATATTAAGTTTTTTTTTTTTTAATGACTGAGGAGACAGAAATAATACTTATTGAGCACCATTTTTTAAAATCTCATTTAGGTCTGGGAAAGGGGACATCAAAGGGCATAAATACAGTATCTATGTAAATGGCCAGAGTAATCCAATCCATATTGTCCTGAACACTAAACACCTTGCTGCTTTAGAAGATCCCAGGATGCAAGAAGATAGGTATATATCCTGAGTCTTCTCTAGTGCCAAAAAGATGTCAACACCAAAAAATGTAAAGTCAGCCTCTTGGTTTGGAAGAGCTGTCAATTTTTTATGTGTTCAGAAGCAGTTTCTCCAAATGGAAACTGCTGTCTGATGTCACTAATAGATCTGTCCAAGCACAGCAGCCAAGCAGAAAAGTAACTCATTGTGTTCTTAGCTCTAAAATCTAAAATCACCAGTTAACTAAAAATCATTGCTGGCTGGTTAGCTCATTTAGGAGAGCATGGTGCTCATAATACCAACGTCACAGGTCAGATCCCCTAACTGGCTAGCTGCCAAAAAAAAAAAAAAAAAGTCTAAATTAAAGTTCTCCGGGTGAGTGCAGTATGTAGCCAGACTTGAAAACGACTGATCTAATAGTTTGTCCCTCAGCTTTTCTTGAAAGAGATTTATTTTCTTATTAATCCAACAAAAAAAAAAAAAAAAAAAAAAGGTCAAATAATGTGTCCTGCTAAGAGCTAGCCTGACAGCCAGATGCAGTCACTTGTTCTATCAACAGTTTCTTAATAGAATAGGAGGTAAAATGGAAAGAACCAGCTTCATTGTGCTGACGTGAATGCCTTCTTCTGAGAACTAGGTGATTGCTTACCCCAGTCACCTAGTTAGCTGGTCCCACACCTCCTGGCTTTTACTTCATTCTTTGTTTTGAGAGGCTATTTGTACGTTTTGAAAATGGCTTACCCATTGGTTGGGATATCAGGATTTTCTGTCAGTGCCATCTTTTCTCTAACTCCAAATAGACCAAAGCCACAAAACATTCTTAAATAGACCAAAGTTTCTTAATCAGTGGTCAGTTTTAATATGCCACATTTTCTTCTCTCCTGCGGCTGTCAGCTCCTTATTTGGAGGCTGTGAACATGTTTCTGTTTGTTGTGGGTTCTTATACAGAAAATTAACTCTGAAGTAGTAAATGCACAGGACTCTGCTAGGTGCTTGTACACCATTCGCCATGGGTCTGTGACCTTGGAATTTGTAACACTTTAATGGATGAGGAGTTAAGCTCAGAGAAGTTAAGCCAGTCTGGTTATTTTATAATCCCACCTTAAATGAGAGCAGTTCATTAATTTCTGTACCTTTTACTTTCCATTATTCTACCTTTGGTTGATCTTCAGATCTTCCCTTGCCTGAAGACACTGAAGCGACTGAATTCATTCAACTAATTAATAGCTGGTGTTTGCTGGTAATTACTATGTGCCAGGAAGTGTTCTAAACACTTTAATAAATTATTTCATTTAATCCTCATGACAGTGTTATGAATTAAATACTATTATTTTGCCCACTTTATAGATGAGGAAATTTTACACAGGTGGTAAGTGGCAGACTCAGGGTTAGAACCCAGCCAAGTCTAATTCCAGAGTCCGTGCCTTCACTCACCTGCTTTGTGCTTCCGTAGTAAAGAAGGTACCCTCCCCCTCCCATTTTTGTTTTATTTTACTATATATGCCATTTTCCACTCAGATGAATCTTAAAGAGTCATCATAACCTGGAGTAAGAATCTTTATTTTTAAGAAGCTAGCAATTTATTCCATGAGTACATGTTAGATTCTGAATGGACTCAAAGACTCGAAAGCCAGTAAACTATACTGTACCATGATAGTTTTCATAAATGAAAGAAGTATATTATTTCATATATATTTGTGTATGTGTGTATCAGACTATAAAAATTATCATTGGGGTAGCTTACAAAAAGGCATACACAAAGGGTAAGTTAAATGAATTATATGAAGGGAAGATAATGAGAAAATAATAATACTAAAGCTAAGGATGAGATTCAGTGTACAATAATGCCTACCCCACAATCCTGTACGTTTGCTGATACAAAGAGAGCCACGCTTGTCTCTAACTTCCCACCAACCACAGCAAAAAAGGGTTTCGCAGTCAGTAACAAAAGCCATATAAATAGGGTAACAAATTTGTTTTTTAGAAAAAGTCTAGCTTTTTTCATGCTAAGATAGGAGGGAACAATTTCCAGTAGTTTTCATAAAAGAAGTGTGATGTCGTGTACAAAGTTCTTAACAATGTGCTTACAATGAGTACATTGTTGAATTTCAGCTGATTTTTATAAAACATAGGTAGGCTGGTAGCAGGAAAACATTATAGCAAAAGCATTCCTACAAGGGGTGAAAGCAGTGAAGTCCTGTGCATGGCTTTCTAATGGTTTGGTTTTATATGTTTGCATAATTTAGACTCTAAAGGAATAGATGTACTCTGCTTGTCTGAGTATTTTTTCTACTAGGCTCATGATAAGGATTGGACAGTTGTGAGTTCAGTTTTGCAAGAACAGGACAAGCATATTTTCTAGGTCACCAACTAAGGGCGTATCTATATGCTTTGGCAATTAATTGGGAAGAGAGTAGTATTGTGGTCCTCTTATGAGAATTTAAGGAACAAAGCCAAGATACGTGTCCATATGAATGGTTTGTATGACCCGTTACAGGTTCATACCAACAAATGAATAAAAGGCAATCAAGGCCCCAAAGGTCTGCCTCAAAGACCATGATTATTATTTTAATTTAATAAATGCTATTTTACCAATTGCAAATGCCTTTGAACTCTACTATGAACACAGAATAATAAACCTTGTTCATAGAGATAATATAATCATCTAATATCTTAAGCGGTAATTATTGGCTAACAGTTCAGCATTCAGATTATTACTGTACATTTTTCGGATCTCCCAGTTCTCCAAGATCCTTTTAGGATTTTTATTTTTTAAGGTGGTTTGAGCAGACTGTGTCCTAAGACTACTTGGCAATCTTTCCTCCCTGCTACCCCCCAAATCCTGGTTATTATACTTAAGAACTTGATTATTAAAAACTATCAAGTTAAATGGGACACAACCAAATGATACAGAGCGAAAGAGCTTAATTGTTGGTGTTGACTCCAGAAAATGTCTGGTAATCAGTGTAATATCTCAGTGAGACCAGATGTTTCAATTGTTGCCTGCCTATGTTTACAGCACATTTAGTTTAAACTCCAGATTCTGTTTAAATTACATGCCACTTATGCTTATAATTTAGACAGGCTTTGGTTTCCAAAATAAACAGCTTCTGTTTCTGATACTGTTGTCAACCTCCTAACAGAAATGCTTGTTTTCTCTGACTCTTTTGAAAGGAGCCTCAGTTGATTCCCTGCTCTTCTTCATTACTTCTTTCTGCCCTTTGACATCCTAAGGGATGCACTGGCAGATAGTCATCAGTGACCAGAAGTGTCTCTCTCTAATCTTGAGTCTGCTGGAAACCATTTCCCTGTTCCTTAGTTTTTGTACATTGTACAAATTGGAGCTCTAAAGACCCAGATTATAAAATCTGAAATTTGTGCCTGTTTACTAGACTCTGCTTACTAGGGTAACATGGGGACAGCCGGAATCCCCCAGAAGCATAGAGGATCCCAGAAATATGTTTCCCAATTCTTGTTTTAAAGAAGGCTATCGAGCCCTTTTTCTTTTCTCCCTAGGCTCCCCTTAAACTGTTAATACATGGGGAGCTTTGTTACATGGGGAGGGAGAGTACAGCAATCAGTTGAACCTGGTATTAAGGGCTTAATTTTTCTCCCTTCATTCTTTTCTTGGCTTCTTAAAATATCTCCAACTTAGCCGATAGTTTTACAACTTAAGGCATTTTTTTAAATTCTGCTGATTTCTTCTTCTCTCCTCTCTTCCTTGACCTGTTGTTCTAAGTCAGCCCCACCCCCACTGTGATCTAACTAGGGAAGTGTGCAAAGACACATTGTGACCGTGTAGCAGTGACCCTCGAACACGTGATTTGTGAACGACTAGAAGTTATAGCCTGTATTCCCCATGGGAGTTGCGAAAAATTACTCTCACTTACTTTGTTTTTATTTTTATAAACTTTAAAGATTTTAAAATGATTTGTATGAATCCCTTTTCCAAAGATATGGCAAAAATATAGCTGCTTTCTGCATGAAGATATACCAACTTGTCTGTCTCTTTAAGCCCCACAATATAATATGTGCCTCAGTGTTTATCTATCCCAGTCACAAAGAACTAGGTTAGTTCTTGTGTCACACCACACTCAGAGACCTTGGCGCTCCTTCTGCGGGTCCCATAAGTCCTTACACACAATATGGTACTTCTCAGATTGAATTATAATTACTTATTTTTTTGTCTAATTTCCCTGCCACACTGTGAGCAACTTGAGAGCAAGGACCACAATGCCTTATCCATCTTGTGTAAGTGCTAAGTAATTTTTTTCTTTTTTCTCTTGAATGGGTAGGAACATATGGCCTTACTCCCTGAAAATTGAGACAATTACTTGAACTCTGCTCCTTGAAATTTAGGATGCTGGCATCCAACTCGGGATAGAGAGTACCAGTCATGATGGCTTTTCTCTGTCCTTATTTCTTACCTTGTAAGAGTCCTCAAAAACTGTTTTTACAAAGGTTGTACCTCAGCCAGTACCACCTTTTGATTTGAGGATTGGCTCCCCAGTGGCTTATTAGTATTTTATTTGATAGCAGCCATCAAAGAAGCATTTGATTTGTGTTTATAATGTCCAGCTTTTAAATCTGTGGTCAAATATACACTTAAACAAAAAAACAGCAACAATAACAAAAAAAACCCCTGCTATTATTTAAAAAGGTTATTCAGGGACAGAATTCTGTGCTTTCTTTCCCAGTTTTAACAGCAACAATAACAAAAAAAAACCCTGCTATTATTTAAAAAGGTTATTCAGGGACAGAATTCTGTGCTTTCTTTCCCAGTTTTAGCTGGCAACTCTATTTCCTTTATCTTTGGGGCTTGGTTATTTCAGCAACTACAAGTATGTCCCTCTAGCTGATAATGGGTTTCATAATGGCTGCAATTTAAGTGGGGTTGAGTTACCTTTCTTTCAATTCACCAGGCTGACCCCGGGGGCTTGCATGTTATTTCTTTGTAGGTTAAACTAGTAATCTGCCATGAAAACCAGAGAGGTGCCATTTCAGGGTTTCCAGTTATTTATTAAGTGATTCTGTTTTCCCCAAGTTAGCATATGTGAATGTTTTTACCTGGAAACAATCAAATATGAATTATCCTGTTTTATAGAATGTGAATTATTGCTCTTCAAAAATGAGATTAAAAATGAAGTCTTCGTTAAAGTAAATATTATTTTAGTGCACTTGAATAATAACCCGTTTGGCTCATTTTTCTTTACCACCAGTAGAACATCTTTAAAGAAAAACAGCTTTTTATTGTGGAAATTTTTCAACTTAGGCAGAAGTAGAGAAAATAGCATAATGGATCCCCCCATGTACAGGATTTGGTTTCTACAATTCTCAGCACATGGCCAGTCTTGTTTCATCTACACCCTCCCCCCACAGGATTGGTTCCAGTAAAGTATCTTGACAGCTAGGGTTTAAGGGATCATAATGCCTTGGGTCTCGAATAAGTCCAAGTTCCAAAGAGATGATTTGTGCCAGCTTCTCCCTACTTCAATGCATGTTTGATAAAGCCTCGTTTGATCAAGGGTAAAGACTGTTTTTAATCCTAATAAAAAAAAAATATTTATACCCTCCTTGAACTTTGGAGTTTCTTTACTAGAACAGCCTTTGGTAGATATAGATGAGGGAAAGTGATGGGACCAGGTCATCTTTAGCTCTAGGTCATCTTTAGCTCTGGCACTTCTAAAGAGAAGTCTCTGGTCGGGCTCAAGAGAAGAGGAATATTTCTTATTCTCACCTTCAGGGAAGAGGGGTCATTTATCTAATTTACAGAATGGAATTGTGCAGACTTCACCATAATCTAGCAATGCCAGTAATGGAACAGTTTTTCAATTTTCTGTAACAAGAACAGCCATAAAAAGGAAGGCTTTCTCCAGAAATAGTGTTCTAAATGAAATTGTATCCACATTAAATCCAGAATTATCATACTTGCTAATATACAGCAGTCCACTATTTACCAAGAGAGAAAGTTTCCAAAAAAGGTTTCAGCCAATTTGAATAAACTTTGTGAAAGAAATAATTAAATCCCTACTTAAGTATTTATTTTATTAATTGTATATATATTTATTTAAAATTAGATATAAATAGTATTTTAACAGACACATTACCCTTTTCTACTCATATTTCAGGAAACAATTTTATTCCAAAACTTTCATGCATCAGTGCTTTTAATATTACTGGGATCACTTTGTGATTCACCTGGCAGTTTTTATCACAGTCTGTTTGGTCTGTTATAACAGAATGCGTTAGACTGGGTAATTTATAAACAATATAAATTTATTTCTTATTGTTGTGGAGCCTGGGAAGTCCAGGATAAGGAGTCAGCAGATCAGGTATCTGGTGAGGGCCCCTTCCTGAGAGATGGGACCTCTTTTAAAGGGGCACTAACCCCATTCATGGGGTGCCTCTCTCACAGCCTAAACACCTCCCCAAGGCCTCATCTCTTAACACTAACACTTTGTGGATTTGGTTTCAACATGCATATTAATTTGGGAGGAACACAAATGTTCAGACCATAGCAGTTTTCTAGAGAATATTGTCTTTGTATCTCAATCCACATGATTGGAAGCAATATTTTAGTGACCAAAAATTTTATGCTAATAACCAGAACTTTTAGGCAAAGCCGCAAATTTGTTTCATATCTCAGTTGTACAGTTGTTTTCTGAATTAATTCTGTAGGTGTATATACATTAGCTTCACAACTTATCCGCTCTTGCTTTCTAAAGTAGCTGAAGAGGTTTGTTTACTGGTAGGGGTTGATTTTTCTCCTTTCTTAAACCAGACTAGCTTGGTTGAAGCTATTTCACACTTGTGTGTCATACCCAAACAGTGGCTTTTCATTCAAAATAAAGTGACCTAGAGAGTACCCTGTAATATGAGATAGTTTTGGAGAGAAGTCTCACTTTGTATTCAAACTGATCCGTACTTTAAGAAGATGAATATTTAGTTTCTGTAACTTTCCCTGTCCCTCAAAGCTGCCTCAATTCAGACCTTTCTGACTGTGAACCGTTTTAAACTCCAAACCTTGTGCTTCTCTGTCTCTGTAGATCAGATCTCATCCCCAGTTTGGTGATCTCTGCCAGAGGACCACCGCTGCTTCCTGCTGTCCCAGCTGGACGCTGGGAAACTACATTGCCATTCTGAACAATAGATCGTCCTGTCAGAAAATTGTTGAGCGAGATGTTTCTCATACCTTGAAGCTTCTTCGGACATGTGCCAAACACTACCAGAATGGCACTCTGGGGCCAGACTGCTGGGACATGGCAGCCAGAAGAAAGGATCAGCTCAAGTGCACCAATGTGCCACGCAAATGTACCAAGTACAACGCTGTGTACCAGATCCTCCATTACTTGGTGGACAAAGACTTTATGACCCCAAAGACAGCTGAGTATGCCATGCCGGCTTTAAAATATAGCATGCTCTTCTCTCCCACCGAGAAAGGGGAGAGCATGATGAACATTTACTTGGACAACTTTGAAAACTGGAACTCCTCTGACGGCGTGACTACCATCACTGGGATTGAGTTTGGTATCAAACACAGTTTGTTTCAAGATTATCTTCTAATGGATACTGTGTATCCTGCTATAGCCATTGTGATTGTCCTTTTAGTCATGTGTGTCTACACTAGGTCCATGTTTATCACTCTGATGACAATGTTTGCAATAATCAGTTCCTTGATTGTTTCCTATTTTCTCTATCGTGTAGTATTTAACTTTGAGTTTTTCCCTTTTATGAACCTCACTGCACTCATTATTTTGGTTGGAATTGGAGCAGATGACGCATTCGTCCTGTGTGATGTTTGGAACTACACCAAATTTGACAAGCCTCATGCTGCAACCTCGGAAACAGTGAGCATCACCTTGCAACATGCTGCCCTCTCCATGTTTGTCACAAGTTTCACCACTGCTGCTGCCTTTTATGCTAACTATGTCAGCAACATTACAGCAATCAGGTGCTTTGGGGTTTATGCGGGGACAGCTATACTGGTGAATTATGTTCTGATGGTCACGTGGCTTCCAGCAGTTGTTGTACTGCATGAGCGTTATCTTCTCAATATATTCAGTTGCTTCAGAAAGCCCCAGCAGCAAATGTACGGTAACAAAAGCTGCTGGATGGTGGCTTGCCAGAGATGCCACAAAGTACTTTTTGCCATTTCAGAAGCGTCTCGGATTTTTTTTGAAAAAGTATTGCCATGCATTGTCATTAAGTTTCGCTACCTTTGGCTGTTCTGGTTCCTTGCCTTAACTGTAGGTGGGGCCTACATTGTGTGCATAGATCCGAAGATGAAACTGCCCTCCTTGGAGTTGTCCGAGTTCCAGGTGTTCAGGTCGTCTCACCCTTTTGAGCGCTACGATGCTGAGTACAAAAAGCTTTTCATGTTTGAACGTGTTCACCATGGAGAGGAGCTCCACATGCCCATCACAGTAATCTGGGGTGTGTCCCCAGAAGACAATGGCAATCCACTGAATCCCAAGAGTAAAGGGAAGTTGACATTAGATAGCAGTTTTAATATTGCCAGCCCAGCTTCCCAGACCTGGATTTTGCACTTCTGTCAAAAACTGAGAAATCAAACATTCTTTTACCAGACTGATGAACAGGACTTTACCAGTTGCTTCATTGAGACATTCAAACAGTGGATGGAAAACCAGGACTGTGATGAACCTGCCCTGTACCCTTGCTGCAGCCACTGGAGCTTCCCCTACAAGCAAGAGGTTTTTGAACTGTGCATCAAGAGAGCCATCATGGAGCTGGAAAGGAGTACGGGGTACCATTTGGACAGCAAAACCCCAGGGCCACGGTTCGATATCAATGATACTATCAGGGCAGTAGTGCTAGAGTTCCAAAGTACCTACCTCTTCACGCTGGCATATGAAAAGATGCATCAGTTTTATAAAGAGGTGGACTCCTGGATTTCCAGTGAGCTGAGCTCTGCACCTGAGGGCCTCAGCAATGGTTGGTTTGTCAGCAGTTTGGAGTTCTACGATCTCCAGGACAGCCTCTCTGATGGCACCCTCATTGCCATGGGGCTGTCCGTTGCTGTTGCGTTCAGCGTGATGCTGCTGACAACTTGGAACATCATCATAAGCCTTTATGCCATCATTTCAATAGCTGGGACTATATTTGTCACTGTTGGTTCTCTTGTCCTGCTTGGCTGGGAGTTGAATGTTCTGGAATCTGTCACCATTTCGGTTGCCGTTGGCTTATCTGTAGACTTTGCCGTCCATTATGGGGTTGCCTACCGCCTGGCTCCAGATCCTGACAGAGAAGGCAAAGTGATCTTCTCCCTGAGTCGCATGGGCTCTGCGATTGCCATGGCCGCTCTGACCACCTTTGTGGCTGGGGCTATGATGATGCCCTCCACAGTTCTAGCTTACACCCAGCTAGGCACCTTCATGATGCTCATCATGTGTGTTAGTTGGGCTTTTGCCACCTTCTTTTTCCAGTGCATGTGTCGATGCCTTGGACCACAGGGTACCTGTGGTCAGATTCCTTTACCTAAAAAACTGCAGTGCAGTGCCTTTTCCCATGCCTTGTCTACAAGTCCTGGTGACAAGGGACAAAGCAAAACACATGCCATGAATGCTTATCATTTAGATCCCAGGAGCCAAAAGCCTGAACTGGACCATGAGTTTTATGAATTAGAGCCTCTGGCATCCCACAGCTGCACTGCCTCTGAGAAGACCACTTATGAAGAGACCCACATCTGCTCTGAATTGTTCAACAGCCAAGCAAAGAATTTAGGGATGCCTGTGCGTGCAGCTTACAACAGTGAACTCAGCAAAAGCACCAAAAATGAAACTAGCTCTGCCTTGCTACAGCCCCCTCTTGAACAGCACACCATGTGTCACTTCTTCTCTCTGAATCAGAGATGTAGCTGCCCAAATGCCTATAATCACTTGAAATATGGCCCACACGTTTGCCAGCAGATGGGCAACTGCTTTTGCCACCACTGTACTGCTGCTGCTAGCAGCTTTGTCCAGATCCAGAACGGTGTGGCACCTCTGAAGGCTGCCGAGGGCTTCGTTCATCCCATCCCACACATCCACCACTGTCCCTGCCTGCAGGGCAGAGTGAAGCAACCTGGAATGCAGAATTCTCTGCCTAGGAATTTTTTCCTCCACCCAGTGCAGCATATTCAGGCCCAAGAAAAAATTGGTAAGACCGATGTACACAGTCTTCAGAGCATAGAAGAGCATCTTCCAAAGATGACAGAGCCACCATTTGTCTGCAGAAGCACTGGATCTTTACTAAAAGCATGTTGCAATCCTGAGAATAACCAAAGGGGACTCTGTCAAAATCGAGACAGTGGGAATATGGAAGGCAGTGGCGGGACTGAAAACAAGGTCTCCAGTTTAGTCCATCAGACCAGCAAGGCAGAAAGGAAAGTGGGGCTGAGCTTGTCACAGACTGATGTGACTGTGAATTCAGAACATGTAAATCAGAATGAACCAAAATTTATATTTAGCCATCTCATGGGGGAGGCTGGTTGTAGGTCCTGCCCACACAATCCACAAAGTTGTGGCAGAATTGTGAGTGTGAAATGCAGTTCTGCAGACTGTCAAATGCCAAACATTGAAACCAACGTGCCTGCTGTGTTAACACACACGGAGCTTTCTGGTGAAAGTGTGTTAATAAAAACACTGTAATAAATACAGCATTAAGTTCAGAACCAGTGCCTTAGTCTTTCTTTTGACATGAAAATCCAGAAATTTAGAAAGGGAGCCCCAAAATACAGGAACACCTTGTTAAAAACTTCATCTTGTTAAAAATTATGGAACATTTTAATATTCCATATGAACAGTGAACTAACTACAAATCTAATGAGTGCATTAGATTATTATATTGGCTGATTATTGGATTTTATATTTTCAAAAAGTATAGTTGATTTTTGTATTTATACTTAGCTTGAAAAATAATTCTCTCTTTCTACCCTCCCACAGTAGTAAACGAGAGATTTAAAGTTTGAATTATGTAGAAATGTCAGTTTTCCCAGGCAATCATATTTGCCTGATGTCTTTATTCTGGTGTGTTTGATTGGCAGTAATCAGGACTTCTAATTGCTCAACATAAATACTAGGAATTGCCCTGATTTTAATAGAGGATCTTCAGTTGGGATCTATGAACTAAACAACATTAAAATTTACATTTTTGGTGAGGCCTCATTTAGAAATTAATTGCCAAGCACCTTAATAGTGCATTTTACTTGTCTGCATGAGTAGACTTTACATGAAGTCATCGACACATTTATATCCAAATTGGTATCTTTCCCACATTAGCCAAAATGTACAGTTGTTCAGTTATTACATCTGTTAACCCAGAAGTCATAGGCATCGTCATGTGTCAGGCCACAATTATGTTACTGCCACAGAAGGAAGAGTCTGAATGAAGACATGTGGTCACCCAATATAGTATTTCATTTCACAGGATAGGTGGCGTTTTGACAAAGACCCAGGTAGGTGAATCCTAGCCTCTTAAAGCATTCACAGTAAGGGAAGTTGTCTAAAGTTTTGCTTCCATCTTTGTTCCTAAGAGGCCACGTTCAGAAGGCTTCTTTCTCCTGTGTTAAACAAACATGGTCTCATGGCACATTAGGATTATTTTATTGTGCAGCTAGCACCTGGAAATGCTCAGTCTTTAGGCAGCATCTTAAATGATCCTTGTGTGTGCTGCATAGGATCATGTGCAGTAATTGAGCTGTTGGAGCATGCTTTCTGCATGACACTTCAGATGACACAGCCCTCATCACAGGGCATGCCAGCCCCGTAAGGGGGAGTTCTCCTGCATGCTGCTTCCTTCTGGGATCCTACCTCCATTTTGGTCTTCTGAAGGAAACTAGTGGAAATATTTCTAAATACAATGTTCTTTTCAAAAGTTATGTTAGTTATTTTCTATGAATAGTTTTCCAAATTAGATCTGCATATTACCTAGCGTTTGAAAAAAAAAGCTGTCAAGAGCTTAGAAGGGTTCTTATGGGTGGTCGACTCCAGCCCACCTCCACTAAACCACATTCCTGTTATGTAGCTTTCCAGCTTTTGCTTGAATACCTCAGTGATGAGTAACTCACTGAATGATAACCTTGGTTGAACCAAAATCTGTTGTCCTGTAGTTTTTCTACCAGTTGGTCGTCATTCTGTTCTCTGAAGTGAAAACAAACATCTTTCTGCCGCAGATATTTGAAAACAGTGATCATGTCCTCCCACTCACTCCCCAGTTCACTCAGTTGTTCTTCACATGACCAGGTTTGAAGTGATTAAAACACTGACTGAGTAGCTATGGTCTTCTTTGGATAGGTTTGTCAAATTCCCCGTGCAAATATAGTACCCAACCCGACTCTATGATAACACCACAAGGAGGACCAGCCGCCAGGAGACTGGACAGGAGTCCTGCTGGTTCACTTAGAGGTGCAGATATCTTTTGGCTCAAGTATTACAGCCAACTCTTATGCAGCTTACGGGAAACTAAACCCACTAGGTCTCTCTTACATGTATAGCTGCTAAGCCACCTCTCCAAACCAGTTAGGTGTTTACACTGAAGTCCAGGAGCTTTTACGTCCATTCCTACTGTACTTAATTCTGTTAGATAAATAAAGGGAGAGGGGAGGAGAAGGAAACACTTGAAAATAGGACTGACAAGACCCAACACTAGATTCTTTGTTTTCCTTCTGAAATGTGTATCCGTAAAGTTGGCTAGTGAAAATTTAGTAGTCAAAAAGCACTTTTTTGTTGGGCATGGATACAGATTGAATTTAAGGGCAATACGAGATACAAATTGCTCTACAGATAGTTTGACCTGGAAGACTTGCATGTGAGCCAAGTGTCGTTTGATTTAGAAAATGAAAGCTGGAGTGAAAGAAGAAGGGACAGCCTCTGACTTCCCCCTGTGGCCTCCAGCACACTTAGCTATCATCTTTTACCCTGTCTGCTCTGCTGCCCTCCCGCCCGCCCCCTGCTTAGTTATCCTGAACCTTGAATATGGCAGCGAACTTTTTTCACATTTATTTCATCTCTGGACTTTGAATTGACTAGTTACTTTTTTCACACAGGAATTTTTTTTTTTTTTAAGAATTCATTTGCCAGGGCTAGAAAGCTCTTTTTCTATTTTTATTTTATTTTGGGGGTGGCTGGCCGGTACAGAAAACCGAACCCTTGACTTTGGTGTTACAAGACCGTGCTCTAACCAACTGAGCTAACCAGCTTGAAAGCTCTTCTTTTAGATTTTTAATTCCTCATTACTGGGTAGCGAAAGATTACTATTTCTAGTTCTGTTTCACAAAGAAATTTCATCCATTATTATCTTCTAGAAAATTTGTAAGAGTTTAAATTACACATGGGGAAAGAGTCTTTTCTTCTTACTATGAAATATTTGTAATGTGGAAGGTATTTTGTTATGGAAAGGATTTGTATACTGTCTGTTACTACAACAGAACACATCTTTGAGGCTTAAGTCCCTATTATCAAATTTGTTCCTGACTTCCTCCCTGCAAAGTCACTGTTTAAATCTCTATTTGATTGAAAAGTGGAATAGGACAATAGCAAAAAGTTTTTCACAGAGAAGAGATGTATTTGAAATGACTACACAGCTTCATCTGTGTGTATTCATTCCTTGTGTGTAGCTGCTATAAAATGCACATTCTCCCAAAACAATGATCGTTAAAGGTATGCTAAGCTGCTATTAAATTTCATTAGAGGGCTGGCCGGTTGCTCACTCGGTTAGAGCATGGTGCTGATAACACCAAGGTCAAGGGCTCTGATCCCCATACCAGCCAGCGGCCAAAAAAAAATCATAACAATGATTTATGCTTCAGCCTCAATCATCCTAAATTTTGAAACTTTTGCAAGGGTGATGTGATGAGTCGTTTTCAAATGTGGTCTTACAGGAGATTAGGTTGTGTTCCCAGTTCCCAGGGTCTCACGTGGAAACCTTTCTGCTAGCAGTCAGGAGTATCTGAATGAGGAAGCAGTGACTTTGATAAGGAGAGTCTTTTAGAAGAAAGAAAAAGTAAACCTATGTTAAAAGATAAATCCAAAGACTCATTTAAGTTTTTTTTCATAAGATTAGATATAGTCACAAAAGTAGAAATTTGTTGAAATCATGAGGGGATTTTTTTTTTTTAATGTAGAAGGAACTACTATGTCTAAATTACCCTTTATACCATAGTAGATCTTTCCAAAATGTTTGCTGGAATTTAGTTTATCACCAACCGTTGATACATTAACCTACCTTTTTTTGTTTATGTTGTTAAACAGCTACTTTCATTAATGTTTGGTTTTATGTGTACTAAGAGGTTTCATATCTTTGCATTAAATATATAGGCAAAAGATTAAGTAATGAATATGACTCATTAGTAGAATCTTTTGTTCTTAACAGTGCTTTAACCGGCGTAATTTTGGATTTTTTTGTGGGAAAAAAAGTCGTTTCTCTTTTCATTAATTTTGTAAACCAAAAGGTGCACACACCAGCACAAGTCCCTGAGTAATCCGGATCAGCAGTTTCGATCAGCTCCCCCCAGCCACCAGCTAGGACATGAAGTTGACAGTACAAACGCCAGCTAGGACAAGTTCACTGACTCAGCAGAGCCTGGTGGATATTCGTTGTACATAAGTGTGCTTTCCTGAGACCTGGGGAGTGCGAGTGCTGGTTTAGTTTTGGGGGTGGACATGGAATAAAGTGATGATGTTCTGCATTCGGAAGCTGCAGTCCAAGAAAGGGCTCTTCCTAACCTGGGTACTCTTCGGAGGTTTTGTTTTCAGTAACCCTGAACTACATACATTTTATTTTGAGTGAGAAGATAGGTCAGTGACCCAACTTGTTAAGAGTAACACGGTAGAGTACATATCCTCTTCTTAAGAGAGTTAAGCCAACATTTGAAATACCAGTCAACACCTCCACTGTCCTTACACAATGCCTGAAACGGGATCCATTAAATTCGTGCTTGTATTAATGACTTTGACTGTCGCAGTGAAACAAATGAACCCTCCATGTTCTCAGGTCAATGGAATAGCTAAACTTTGATATTTACCCTTCTCCTCTCATATTTTTTTCACATAACCATCTGTAATGTAGTCTATACCTTCCTAATAAGCAGAGGGCAGGTTATTTTCAGCAAGAAATATTTTTCTTTGGAACTCAATAAGGATCTTATAAGAGCTGGTTTCAATGTGAGACAAAGTAACAGAGTAAAATTTGCTCAACCTCTATCCACTAATTGGACATTTCTGATCAGTGGATGGGTCTTTAACTTTCCATTACTTACAGAGGAAAGGGTTTGCTGAGCAAACCAGTAATCCAAAGAAGATTGCAAAAAGCCTGCCTTAGCCTGCCCAAGAAAACAAACCTCTAGAATTTAAAAAACTTCTGTAGTGTTACTGTCTTTGCAACATCATATGACCACTACAAATCTCATTAATAAAAAAAAAGGTTCAGTAAGATTATCTCTAGGCAAAACTTTACCAGATGTTTTAATAATAGTTGAGAATAAGATAGCATCTATTTTTAAATAGTCTTAGATGTGGCCTTTCTTGGGTGTCCTCACTTCCACGAGCTCCATTGTTCTACCCTCTGGAGGCTCTCTGGTCTGCAGGGTGACATATATTTCTCTGTAGTCTGGCAGCAATCAAGTGCTTAATTCATGTAGTCTTAAGGGATGGGTGTAAAACCACAAGCTTTACC